TTTTTCTACCTCAAGGTAAAATAAAATCCAGAAGCCTCTCCGCGATGCTTTCAGCATTGCAGGTCACAGAGCTTGGCCATCAGCTGCAGGACTTTCCTTCGTGCCAGACCATGCGGAAGTTTCCGAAGATATGGGGTACCTTAGGGTTCCTTTAAAGGGGTACGATAAGGGTACTATAAGGGTTCTATAAAGGGGTTAGGGTTTAGGGTTTAGAGTTTCCGAAAATATAGGGTACCCTATTTTGGCATCCTCATAAATACGGATCCTACTATTCAGGGTGCTATATTATTAGGGTCCCGATTTTCGGAAACTCGCATACGGTCTCTACTTAGGTGGTAGTGCTGATTGCTACAATGCTTCCTATGATTGGGTCTCTATAAAAACAAACTGGTCCACAATTGTCTATAAGGGCTTCTCTGAAGCCCACTTCGGTTGCTACATGTCCTAGTGCTGACCCTAGGTCTGGTAGAGTATTGTCCTTTCTTCCTAGTAGTCAAGTAGGTAACCTTGAACCTTTTTTGGGGTAGTATAGTCCGTATATAACCCCTTTTATAACCAAAAAGGTTAACCTTTAGTTCCCTATGATACCCGACAAGTAGGTCCTTATCTGGCCTTGTTGTAGTGTTTTCTCTTGTGGGGCCGGTCGTGTGGGGCCGGTGCAGAGTAAAGCATCAGAGCCAGCACCACGGAAATGACATCACTGTGCAGGTCATGGTTATGGTCGTCATTGAGTCATCATGATGATGCTGATCTGTCGCGCTTATACTTGTTGCTCGAATTCTCGATTGCTGTTTACTTCTGTTACGTTCCGTCACTACAGTGACCACCGCCAGCACCAGCAGCACCACCACCATGAGTTCGGTGATGTCGCAAATGATGACACTCGCGAGTTGCAAACTACGATTCCCTGTGTACCATCGTAGTCGGGGATCTGACTATTTGGTTTTTGTCCAGTAGAGTCCGACTAGTGCCGAGCATGTCGGTGATGTGAGTCTTTTACTTATGCATTGCCTCAAAGTTCTCTAGGCAATCCCGAAACCCCAGACCCGAAACGCAGGAGGCTGTAGCGGCATTCACCAAAAGCAAGTCGGGCAGTGCTGGGGAGCATGGACAGGCATCTCGGCAGATGTGGGGTGGGCCTAGTTGCTTGCCTGTTCAGCTTGTTATTGGAAAATGGGTTTAAGGTTGAAGCTTCAGGGATTGATTCAATTTCATGTTGTTTTGTGTTAGAGTTGAAGAGGGGGCAGTGGAAAATTCGACGTTCCTTCGTGGGCTCACTATGAGAAGGGTACTGTGACTTGCAGGTTCATTTAAGCCTCTTACTTATCTCAGGTATTCTGAAACTACGCTTTCATCGGCAAATGTCCTAAGTGTTTCGATAATTTGCATATATTCCCAGAGGTTAGCCCTCAATTGCCCTGTTATGGAGGCCTGAAATGTTTCGTAGTGCTATATTGTAAGGCTCCTCAGAAATCATGGTGTACCTCCGAACCCTGGTTCGTCTTTTAAAGGCCCCTACAAAAGACACTAGCAGTAACTGCAGCAAACCTTTGGAAGCCTTCATAGATGTCCCCGTAGAGTCCCCCCAAAAGGGTTCCACACTCCGTACCGATTACCCTGCTTGTAGCCCGTTGGTAGAAGTACAGTAGCACATATTATGCCCCCAGCCCAGGTCTATCTCTTGAGCTACCTTTTCGCCCCTACTTCCAATAAACCCCTAAATCCCTAAGCCTGACCTCCCACCGAAAAAAAAACCCTAAACTAAGCCCTACTTAAAGGATCATGGGTAACTAGGGTTAGTTATAGGGAAACCATACCTATAGCCCCGATTAAGGTACTTATAACCTTACTTACTAAGTCCCATGATCCTCCAAGTAAACCCTGAAGCCGCAACTCGGAAGGATGGTGATGTCCGCTTGGAGCTGCAACTTCTTCGGGAGGAGGTCGCTCGGCAAGCACGAAGTGGCTTGTTCGGGGGTTTCGTGATTCAGGGCTGAGGGGCTTAGGACCAAACCCCAAACCCCAAACCCTATCCCTAAACCCTTATAAACCCTAAACCCTAAACCGCAAACCCTAACCCTTATAAACCCTAAACCCCAAACCTCAAACCCTAACCCTAAACCCTTATAAACCCTAAACCCTAAACCGCAAACCCTAACCCTAAACCCTAAACTCCAGGGGCTCAGGACTGAGAGCTTGAAGCTTTGGGCTTCAAGGAACCATGGGCTTCGGTTGAAGCAATGACCTTCGCAAATCCAACAACCCTAAACTCCTGTTTGAAACTTTACATAGTAGCTAACCTTTAACCTTTTGGGGTTTATATAATCCTACCATAATCGAAAAGGTTAACCTTTGCTGAATTAGGGTACTCAGCCCCAACGTTTATCTGAAACTTTAGGACTGCTTTTGGATACCCGTAAGGCCTTGAAAGTCTTATTATGGTGGGATCTAAACAGTTTTGGCAGTGCCATGATAACTCGAAACCCTACACTACCTGTGGCCCGAAAGTAGTAGGTCTTTTCGGCCACAAATATCTAAACTCTTCCACCTGACTCCGGGATGGAGCTCCCAACTGTCCAAGAGTCCTCTCCCCTTTCGGGCGAGGGCGCTGGAGATATTTCTGGCTTAGGGTTCGCAGGGTTCCGGGGTTTGGGGTTTAGGGACATAAAGTTCCGATGCAGGGCGAAGGGGTTTGGGGCAGTTTGGGGTTTATAGAAAAAGCCGTATGGGCACGCGACTCACATACTCCGCAAGTGACCTGTAGATTCAATTATCCTGAACGCAAGAAGTCGGGAAGCCCTCAGCCGCAAACGGAAGTCAATAGAGGAAGCTTTACAGGGAACTCCAGAAAGTTGGAATATGGTTTCAGGGTAGGACACCTTATAATTTGCCATAGAAGGGTTAGGATAATCATATTCCAACTTTCTGGCTTTTACCGTAGTACCTAAAGAAAACCTATTTAACCCTGCCCGAAGTTCCAAATCCCGAAGCCGGAGTCCCAAAATCCTCAACTCCATAGTCCCAGCACACTATTTTTTAGGGTTTTAGGGTTTAGGGTCTAGGGGTTTAAGTTTGGGGTTTAGGGTGCACCCTCAATGAGCGGCCTCAAAGGCGACCCTTAAAGGAAGCCAAAGTTCATCCTGAAGCCCTACTTGGAGGATCATGGGACTTAGTAAGCAAGGTTATAAGTACCTTAATTGGGGTTACAAGTATAGTTGCCCTGATCATAACCGTAGTTACTAAGTCCCATGATCCTTTAAGTAAACCGACAGCCGGCTCCCTGTCAGGTTCAAGCCCAACTAGGCAGCTTGAAGACGCTGTTGGAGCCCCTTCTGGGCTCTTCCTCCGTGTGAGCTCTAGTGCTTCATAGGGTTTTTGGGGTTTGGGGTTTAGGCTTTATTGTTTGGGGCTTAGGTTTTTGTTTAGGGTTTCCAACAGAGGAGATTCAAAATATGGTGGTGGTTTGTTTGATTTGTTTGTATGTATGCATGTGTGTGTATATGTATATATATATATACATATTATATATATATATATATATATACATGGGGAGGTGTTCAATCCAGAGATCAATATCAAGAAATCCCGAACGACCCGGCATCCTTAAGATTGCACAGAGGAAGCACCAGCAGCAGGTCAATGAAGAGTATTGCTTCAAGTGCAGGGTTTCAATGTTTTGGGGCATCGATTGGAGCGTCAGCGTGCGGTAGCGATTGGTCGTGGGATGATGTTCTATCTGTGCTTCGACTGTGCGTGGACAGTTTCGGCGGCTAAGGCTCTGAGACGTGTAAAAGGAAGTATGCCGTGTGAACCCCGTAATGCTAATCCTTAAAATTGCTATCGGCTGCTGCAGTTCGGTCCTAGCGCTGCTGGCCTGACTTCCACCAGCACCAATCAGCAAGCCCACCTATCGAACACGACCACTGTCACCACAAACTGTTGATGCTTGTACATGATGTGGGTTTGGGATTGGGGTATTCAAGCTCGCTCGTAAGGGCACAGGATGTAGAGCTGTGAAACGGAGGAAGTTCCCGCGTCGATGCTCCGTCGTGGCTTTGCCATGCGTGTAAATGTGACGGTCTCTGCACCCGAAAATTTTCAAGTGGGGGAAGGGACATGTGCTAACGCCCAGGCTTGCCGAAGATCGGTTTGGCCGTAGTCGTCATTTTGAAAGAAACACCAAGCACACGCCAAAGATGTCATTGTGTCCATTTCCATCTTGGTCGAGGCTGTAGGTTTCAAGGCATCCGGGACGAGATCTTCAGTTCAGCATATTGAGCCAGGTTTTGCCAGGTTCTTATCTGCCACATCACACCATGCAGGTTTCAGGATGTACTGTTTAGTCCTTGGGCAGTCTTGTGCCGTCGACTGCTGGTTTAGGTTTCGTAGGATGACCTTCGTATTCTTTGTCCGGAGGATCGTTGTGAAAGTTTCAGTGTGCTGGATGAACAATCATGTACCGAAGGTACATCGGCCCCCCTTCTTGCTCATTCAGAGCGCGACAAATGGCCTTGTACTCAAGCCCCACATCGAGATCAAAAAAGGCTTTATACTCTTCCGGGGACGGATATGAAGATGATAGTTGTCAATAGTCTGATGGAGGCGCTTAGCCATCCACTCGCGCCGGCATGATCCGTTGATCTGCTTGCAAGTTGCACGTAGTATTCTCGCAAGGTTTGCGCGGGCAGTCAGAGTGCATAGCAGTCGGCAGCTTCCACGCGCATTCTTTGGCTTTGCTTTGCATGACATGGCTGTTTATTCTCTGGGGTCGTAGGGGGGGGAATTCAAAGGCATTTTACCCTAAGGGTCCAAGTGCCTTATTACCATATACTCTCCAAAATCCTAACCTACATAACTACTATCCGAAAACCGCGTATCCAGCTCTCCTAGACCCTCCATGTACCCTTTTTAGACCCTAAGTACCCATTATTTGGGACCATATACACCTATTTGAAGGTACAAGGAGGGTTCTGGCTCGTAGTGCTCGTTCAGTTCAGCAGGCCTTGGGCGAAGCTTGGGGTGGATAACGCCGGCTTCCCAGGAGTACTACAGAGTTTTTGCTCGGGGTCTAAGTTCAGAAGAGTTGAATGGTAAAAAACACGATTTGGGGGTTCCGAATTATAGTTAGAGTATGTTGGCCCCCAAAACCCTATTCTAATTATTCAGGCCCCCATATTATGTGTTATTTATGTTGTTGTGAGGGGAGGGGTTTCGGGGTGGAAGGGGTAGATTGGTAGATTTACGGGTTGCTATGAAGGCTTCTCTAAGGGCTCCACAAGACAACGTGCTACGGCTGTGTGTTTAGGGCTTACGTTGGGGTTTCAACGTTTAAGTTTAAGGCTCATATAAGGGGGAACGAAGCCTCGCTCCGACTCTCCAAGGAGATGCAGTGTTGGCTGTGGTGTGCATCGCCATATTCCCGTCGGGATAGGGGCAGCTGGTAGTTCTCGGTCTTGCCGGTATCTTTTTGGTTTAGGGTTTAGGGCTTGCAGCATTTGGGGTTCAGGGTTGGCGACTTCACTTCTTTCTGTTTGCACACCTTTGTGGGAAGTAGTTCCAGCGGTCCCGACCTAGTGGCCTCATGTATGTAGGTCTGTAAACCTTTAAGCTCCAACCGCCAAACCCTTAAGCCACAACCCCTGGTCCTGTAATTAATTCAGACCACAAATTCGTCGCATGCCCTTGTTGTCGAGACGCGAAGCTGAACCGGAAAGCTCCAAAACCCCGAAGTCCAAAGCTCCAAGAGGTTTTTTCAATAGTGCCGGCGACCGGTTGGCTTACCCTAAGGGTCCACGTACTCATATAGTATATTCATTGGCCATAAAGTTTTCCCTATATAGGTACATTGGGCCCAAAGTTTGTGCTATATGGTTACATGGACCCTTAGGGTTAGTTTGCCTGAACCTTTTGCTAATCCGAGAGCCCCGAACTTCGTTCCCTTACTGCTACACGGGTTGGGAGCTTCTTTCTGTTTAGGAGTTTGGGGGTGTAGCTTTGCAAACCCTACAATTTGGGGGTTTCCGACAACAGCGACTCTAGTATAGTACCCTAAATAGTGAGGTATACACTCTAGGCCCTAAAGCCCTGAAGCCCCTAAACCCTTACACCCTAAGCCCGCAGAATTGTCGGCCTCACTCTGCTTCCGCTTCGCACTTGGAGGATCATGGGAGTTAGTAAGTAAGGTTATAAGTACCTTAATTGGGGTTAGAAGTATAGTTACCCTAAGTATAACCCTAGTTACTAAGTCCCATGATCCTTTAAGCAAGGCTAGCTGTGCCAGTGACGGCCGACGCCTGGTGGCCCTACTGCCAGGCGCAGCCTCTTCGAAGCAGGGGGGGAGGGGTTATAGGGTTTAGGGGTGCATAGGGCTTCTAGGGTGTAGGGTTTCGGGTTTAGTATGGGGCTTATAGGGTGTAGGGTTTAGGGATTGGATGTAGGGTTTAGGGTTTGGGGTTTGGGGATTAGTAGGGTTTACCGTGTCAGTTGTGCCCTGAACCTCTGCAAGCCACGTCACAAGTTAAGCACACCTCAACCCTACACCCGAAGCCGTAAAATAAAGCTACCTAAACCTTAGACCCTAGATTAACCCTTAAACCCAAGCAGTATAAGACTCCGAATAGGAACACTGGACCCCGAAGAAGCCTGAGTAGGATGTAAGAGTTTTCGTTAAGCTTGAAGGATGTAAGAGTTGTTCGAGGAAGCCTGAATCATTACCATGATATACCGAGAAACCCTATTCTATGTACGATTGGTAGGGGTTTAGGGTTTAGGATTCTCTCCGGAAGCGGCTAAGCGATAGGTTTAGGGCTTGCAAGCGTACCGTATTAAAGGGCCCTTATCAAAGCTCTTACTTGTATGTAGTTAGATACGACCTAGGGTCCTAGACAAAGGGTCTCTTGTTCTCTGGAACCCCACTGGTGTGCTACTCTCATATTAGTTTGTCTCTCTGGGTTGTGGGGTTTGGGGTTCAGGTCATGCCTTTTGCAGAAAGCCCCGCAGACGCGGTCCGTGGGAATTGAGGTTTTCTCTCGTGCACAATTCTGCAGCGAAACACGGAAGACCGTTTGCGCTGGTAACCTTCTACAATAGCTGGAATGACCGTAAATACACCATGCACCATGCAGCCTCCCCCCAACCCCCCCGCCCCCCGTAAGCGCAAATCCCCAAACCCTTTTAGACGCAAATTGGGATAAACGTAAATAGACCATGCAGCCCCCCCCCCCCTCCGTAAGCTCAGATCCCCAAACTCTTTTCGACACAAACCCCGTCAGTTGCCTGTCTGACCTCGTTAGGGTCTGCGCACAGCTTGAGGATAATCTATTTGCCAAGTTGATGCTATGAACGGCTGCGTGAGTGCGGATTCTCACACCTGCGTTCCCGTGCCCATCTTTGCAACATGGGCATGTGGGGAGCCGTCATTCCAAGGGGCTAACATAGAATTTCCTCGTGCCATTCCTGAGGATCCCCCTAATCTCCTTAAATTACAGCAGCCTATTGCGAGAAGGATTGCTGAAGCCCTCCATCTTGCATTGTGCAACGGCATTACCTTGTTTTCTTCATAGGATATTATTCACGTGATTCGGGGTTTTCCGATCTCTTCATGGACCCTAAGCCAAGAACTCTGTAGTTCTGTGTAAGGCAGCTCAATGGCTGGAATCCTAGAAGAAAAGCAACAAGCTATCTCAAAAACGGAGCTAACTATGCTGGAGACTGCCTAGAGACTTAGCCAGTAGAGCAGGGTTTTGGGGCCCATTACTATACTATACGTATAATAAGGAGCCCCCAAAATAGTATAGGTTTAGGCTTTCGGAGACTGCAGCTAAGAACCCGGAGACCTAAACTCCAAGAACCCCCCCTTCCCTTTGACCGGATTAGAGGGCTCCTTCTTTATAGAAGCCCCTAGAAAGGCCAGGTGATTTGGGGGTTTTCGAAACCAAGAGACCGTAATATAGTACCCGAACTAGTAGGATTCTTACTGTAAGGACCCCCAAATAAAAGGTACCCCTAATTTTCGGAAACTCCCTTTTGGGTTAAGGCAAACGCCAAAATCAGAAACCCAGATCACGAAGCCAGATGCACGAACCCTGAACTCCCCCGGACTCACAGCAGGGCGCCCGGCCGTGTCGGAAACACCACTGCAGCGACCCACAACAGAGGTGCCTCGTACTTGGAGGATCATGGGACTTAGTAAGTAAGGTTATAAGTACCTTAATTGGGGTTAAAAGTATGGTTACCCTAATTATAACCCTAGTTACTAAGTCCCATGATCCTTTAAGTAGCGCAAGCCCTTCCAGCATGTGTAGGATGCAGGTGTTTAGGCTGTTTCGAGACTTAGTGTAAGAGTTCCAAGCCTGAAGCTTGATCATGCCCCCCGCCCCCCCACCTAGATTGAGCATTTCTGCTTGAGAGGTGCAGAGTGCGGCATAAATAATGAACATACTATTTTGGGGGTTCCGTAATATAACTATGGTATAATGGGACCCAAAACGCTTTTTCTAATTAAGGCCGCCAGATAAAGCTTCTTGGTTAGACTCCATTCCTCGTTTTGGGGTTGATTCTTGCGATGTTGGTCTTCGCAGTGGCCAGAATGTAATGTCCTTGGACTTTGGGCTTTAGACTTAAGCTTTAAGAACGCACCCTATATTTAGTAACAATACTTCATCTTGCCAACACTTACCAACACCCTAAACCTTACGCTAGTAAGTGAGGCCATTACATCATCTCTAAAGTCCAAATGCGAGATGTTCTATTTCCAGTGCGGTCTCGACCCCCGAGCTGGGAAAGCAAATGGGTGTGTCCGAAAATAGGTGACCCTAATATAGTACCCTTAAAAATAGGATCCTTATCATATGGACCCCATAATAAATATACACCTAATTTTCGGAAACTCCAAAATTTCATTGAACCGTGCAAGCCCTGAATTGCGGTGTTCGGGCTTTAGGGGTTGACTGGGGTTCTCGGATTTAGGGTTTTGGTGTTTGGTGGTTTAGGGCTCCGGCTCATGGCAGTTTTAGGCTTTAGGGGTTTGAGGTTTAGGAATTTTGGGTTTTAGGGTTCTGGGCTTGGGATTAAAGAGTTTAAGGTGGAGTTCCTACCCGAAGACTAGTAATTTCATTCCCTCCTCATTCATATGCTTTGATGCACCCACCCCAGGCATCTATTCAAACTGTCAAGGTCCCTGTATTGACTGAAATCCGAAAGCGAAAGGCCCTAAAACTTTTGCCCTAAACCCTAAACCGTACCCCCCCTGCAAGAACGAAGCATTGATTTCTAATGCCTGAATCCTAAACCCCGAACCCTTAAGCTTCCAATCTATCTGTGGCCGTGATCTCTCCCTCAACTCTGAAGCCTGGGTTGAATTCTGTGCAATGCACATAGACATGTGAGTACAGACGTTCATGTGTATGCATGTAAACAGATGGCTAGGTAGGCCCTTGGGACATTTTAAATTTTCCCTTATTGGCCTTAATAGGACCCTATTTGCGAATATTTTCCACAGGCTTTAAAGGGCCAACCTAGATGAATACATGGACATTTTACTACTTCGATGAGATACATACACATGCACATGCAGGTGTTCATGTTGGGCATTGGTATACCCTGGCATTTGGTCAACCGTGATTCCCAGAGTGGTATTCCGTGGATCGTACCTCATGTTGCAGGACCTCTAGAGGAGGATCATGGGACTTAGTAAGTAAGGGTATAAGTACCTTACTTGGGGTTATAAGTTTTTAACTCCCTAATTACAACCCTAGTTACTAAGTCCCATGATCCTTTAAGTAGCCCCAAGCCGTAGCCCCACGATCTCCCCCATAACCAAGGTCGAATCGTTGCAATGGCGGGCTTCTCAGGCCTCCGACAGAGCCGCAGAGTTATTGATTTCGGCGTTCTCCGAGCTGTCGCGACGTACGGTAGGGTTCAGGGACGATTTAGAGATGCTGAAACCCCGGCGCTCCAAATCGCCCAAAGAAAGTACTATTTATAGACTTTAGACCCCAAAGTAGGTACCATTTCCATACTTGGAGCTTTGGGGAAAGCCTGCGTGTTTAGGGTCTTTGATTGTGGGCCTATGTCTGACAGGCTCAGAGCTCAGGATTTTGGGTTTCTATAAGGCTATCGGGCTAAAGGGTCGATTTGAAGCTTGAAACTAGTCACGTTAAAGCTGCAGGCCTCGCGAAAGCTTGAATCCTTGTCCATAATCGCCGGCAACTTATCCGAAGGTCCACAAAATCCAGCTTCATCCTAACCCATTCCTCCACCCAAAAGCTAATCCCCATGCTTTACTGTAGACCCTATAAACCCTAAACCCCAAAACCTACACCCTATAAACACATCTTGAACCCGGAGCCCTTTGTGCAGTATCGAGATGCCTCTCGCCGGGGATCCTCGCATAGGTGAAGGGGTTTAGTTGCATAATGGGTTTAGGGTATAAAGGGTTTTTAGGGTTACGGTGTAAGGGGTTTGGGGTTCGCGTGTAGTGCTCCGAAAAGTCGGGACGCCGTGTATGCAGGGTCCATATTGCAGGATCCCTCATTTCATCAACTGAAACGCCGATTTGGGTCTACAAGATTCCAGGTTCACAGCGGTTGGGCTTCGGGTTCGAGTAGGATGCCCCTAAACCCTAAACCGTCGTAGGATGTCTGCAACTAGCAGTCCTTAGACTGTATATGGCCAAAGAGACGATTGTAGGTGTCGAGTCGCATGTTTGCCGTGCCCTTCCAGCAAGTGTTGGGGTTTAGGGTTTGGGGTCAGGGCTTTGAAGCAAGATTCCTTACTGGTTTCGGGTTTCTGCGCTTGTGACGATGATCGCATTGTTCTCCTGCTTCCAGGAAAGACCTGAAACAGCAGGCTGTTTCAGCAACCAGCATCACATAGTCTGGCATGCCCTCCCACGAGGCCCCGAGGCTCCAAGACTAGGATTAGCCGCTAGAGCTTAGACGTTAGGAACTAGGATTTTGGATTTAGGAACAAGGGTGTAGGACTGAAGAAGTAAAGTGTAGGATTTGGGGATGGAGGCTATTGGATGCAGGATCTGATGCCGGCTTGTATCTAGAACGCAGGAGCAACGATTCAGGATTTAGCAACTGATAAGTAGATTTTTTAGGGGCTGGGAGCTAGGATGCATTAACTAGGGAACTAGGGCTTAGGGTATGGAACGTACTCTGGCACATATGTTTATTTTGTTGGGTTCAGGGACTGGGATGTAGGATTCAGTAGTTTGGAACCAAGCAGCCGCAAATCAGTCGACGACCCCATTACGGTCTGAACATGTGGCAGAGGTTGAGGGCTTCGTGTTCAGAAACATGCCCAGTTTCATCAACAGGAGGCCCGGCACAGAAGATCGCGCTGTTCCCAAAGGGTGCTATGCACTGTTATGGGGGATGCTTCCCCAAATCATGATAGTAATTCCTTATATATAGAAACCCTACATTCTACGATATTAATAGGTACTTTGGACCCGTTGGGGTGCTCGACGAGATGGGAGAACACCTGACTGAATTCCGTCGTCTGAATTCTGTTCGTGGACCTGTGACGAGCGTGGTGAGGTCGCAAACTACTCGCAGTGTTATCGAGTCAGGCTCCAGCAAACTCTGACTGCAGGGCTCTGGCCTTCCAACTCTAGTTTTTAGAGCTCGTCAGGTGTAGCACGGTTGGCTTCCGAGTATATGCTTTCAGCACTTTTCAAGTTCCACGGCATCCGCACAAGGTTTACAATCCAAACGTCATTGCGGTGAAGAAAGAACGGGTTGTCTTTGCATGCGGTGCAAGATTCGGGGCTTACGAGGGTTAGAGCCGTGAGGTTACGAATTGAGATGCTTTCGAGAACGGCTGAGTGCGTGTAAGCTGGTGAGTGCGCGAAGATGGATGAAGTACAGTACAGACTTCATGCATATAGTGTAGCAACTGCTTTGCCGTATCTTTCGTCGCGCATTATGGCGTCTTTTACTCCGCATGGCGTGTGGGGTGCGACCTGCCCGCGTCGCGCCCATCATCCCGAAGCTTCCTTCCTGCTTGAGGTACAATGTCCAAAATGATTGTGTTGTTGTGGTCGCGAGGGTATTCGGATGAGTGCGGACTCAGCATCACAATTGGCAGCCGGTCTTTTGAAGTGATTTGTGTGAGCACACCAGTGGTCCACCTGCGGCATGGTATTTCCAGAATCCTGTTTTTGCCTTGTGTTTCAATATTGTTGCAAATGGAAGGGCTCGGTTTTGACGGTTCGCGGACCTACAGCTTGCTTTCAGTCTGAGTTTCAGGGATGCTTCAAAGCGGATTTGATGCATCGTTGCGAACGTTGGACGTGTAGAGTTCTGGGTTCTCTGTCGAAAATCCACCCGCGCGGAACAATTGGCGTAGCCGCAGCAAGCCGCCGAGCAGGAAGCCACTACTTTGCCGAGGGCTTTGGGCGCTGCCTGGGGGAAATCCATCTCAGAAGCTCGGCTTGAGTTGTGCAGTGTATTGCACTGCTTCTCTTTAGTACCTACACCCCATTCCCAAAACCCCAAACCAAAAGTTCAGTTATTTGTCGATGTTGGTGGGGCGGCTTACGGGTTCTAGGTCTGGGCTTTTAGTGTGCAAGGGTAGAGGTTTTGGGACTCCTGAATTTTGGGTTTGCGAAAATTAGGCTGCAGCGTTTGATTTTCGATGCTTGGGGTTTGCGGAAGAGCTGGCAGCGTGCCGGTATAGATACCAGAGAATAGAGATTAAAACCAGATCATGTTCCAATCGTAATCGAGCGTGCAAGCTTCAAGGTCTTGGGTTTCATACCACCTTTACCCACGAATTTGTTTAAACCTGTGTGCTGGGCGACTGCAGTACAAGGTCCGCAAAAGCCAGGGTCTATCTGGCGGTCCTAGGAAACCTAATGGAGACGCCAAACCATAGGAGCCACGGCCATTATTCCGGATAATGGGGTTCTGTTCAGGATTATTCGGGAGGGGCACGGTTCATAATTTTGGTCGCTGTGCACGTCGTCATCACAGCAAAACCGAGAGACGAACCAGATTGTGCTTCGTGGGTCCTACCTTCTTCTCTTCCTGCCCAGGTCCAGATCTTGTCGTTTCGTCGCGCTACCTGTTGTACCTGTAGCCTATAGTTTTTCGTTTGCCATGTGTGCGAGTTGCTGTGTCCTGCGCTGGTCACGAAGATGCTGCCTTGTGCTTGCTTCCTTCTGACATGAGGCGAGTGAATTACTAAGTGGTTTGGATGGTATCGCAAGTCACCTTATTGGGAAATTACTTGCAATCCTGAATTTGGTTTCTTCCTTCAGCCGAAAACCGTGGCCATAACTGCGATTACTTTTTCGAGGATTTAGTAACTTAAGGTTTCTTAGGGCTTCTTGGTTAGAGGTTTGGGCGGTTGCACGGTTTTGGATTCCAAGTCATGCCCTTCCCGACCCCACCCGGGCTAAAGTAGAAGCCAGAATAAACAGCTCCTTCTTGTACAAATGGTACAAAGCACTTTCGTGCTGGGCGGGTCCTGAACCCAGGACCCCTTTCGCCTTGCTTTAGGGCTCATGATCAGTTTCTGTTGAAGGAGAAGAGCAACAACTGCCTCATTGACAGTAGCCCTCGTCCCTTGATCCCTGAACACTGAAACAGATAAACCCCCAACCCTAAACCCTGAACCCTTAGAGCCCTAAACACTGAAACAGATGAACCCCAACAGCTCGATCCCATCGAGGCATTTGATGGACCCTCCCAGTGCACTTTGCGCATCGCCACATCGCGGAACTCCCTTCCGCGACTCTTGTTGGCTTTCCCCGAAGGCAGGGTTTGCAGTTACTGTAGGGGCCTCAACAATTAGAATGGGGTTTATATGGTTCCAAACTTATAATAAGGCAGCCCAGATACTATTTGTAATCACATAGGTCCCTATATTAGGGGATTGAGGTGTGCAGAGTTTTGCGTTTAGGGTATGGCTCCTGCTGTAGTTTGGGGCTTTGGCCCAGGGTGGCTGAGGACATGGGGTTGGGCCGGGATGTGGGTTCTCAGTTTACACATCCTGTGGTTGAGTTTAGACTTTGGTTGAAGGTGTAGGGCTTACGGATGGATTTAGAGTTTGTGTTGTCGAGCTTTGCCGCGGCGCTCCAAATCGCCAAGAGTAGGTACTATTTATAGACTTCAGACCCCAAAGTAGGTCCCAGTTTGCATACTTGGAGCTTTGGGGTTGGGCTTGACATGAAAGTTCAAGGCTTTGGGGCATTGGGTTCAGGATTCGGCTTTGAGGCGTAGGACCCCCAAATGAAATGCCTTCATCAAAGCTCTCCTGTTCTTCGTGAAATACTGGAGGAATTTCCTTGGTGGTTCTACCGAGAGTCTTGACAAGAAAGCGGGAGCCAAGCCTGGATACCTAATGACGCATTGAATCCACTAAGCGCCGGAAGCAAGACTAAGATACATCCTGCGGCAAGAACACAGGCGTCACTGCCACTCGTGCTCTTGCTTGTGGTGCTTGTGGTGCTGGTGGTGGTCGTCGTGGTGGTAATTAGTCGTCGTCGCCGCCGTAGTTGTCGCACTAATCGCCGTATTAGACTTCTACCTCTGATACGTCGTACAACTTCAGCGGGTCACGGCCGCGGCTAGTACGGCGTTATCCACGCTCGTCAAGCCATTGCCTGTCGATCGCTTTGTTTGCTGTCGTTCCAGCTCGACCTACTATCCCGCAAGGTTGTTTTCGTTGTGACATTTTACTATCACTGTTGCTAGCATTTGTCTTGATGACAGTTAGTCTTTTTCTACTAGTATCAATGCTCGTTCGTAAACCGATCATTGAGAACTCTGCGCGCAGCCGAGTTTTTACAATCGAACACCAACGCCCGGAGCCAGTTTCATTGTCGCCTCCGTTGTCGTCGTCGTCGTTGCCGTGGTTGTGGTGTTTACTGTTGCTCCTGCTGTTGTTGTTCAGGTCTCTTGGTGTCCGGACCAGCAGAGTGGAGAAGGCATGTCGCAGGGTTTGTTCTTGGGGTGTGGAATTCGGTGGACTTACGATGTAGGCTTCAAGGAGCTAGTTCAAGATGTTCAGGCTGTTGGTCGGGGGGGTCAAACACGGGTTCAGACTTCGAGAGTTCAGATCGAATAGAAGTGCCGCGGGTCCACGATGGTGCGATGCAGCCAGTCGTCGCCGATGTGGGTGGTAGCATCATGTCATAGTAGTGGTCGCCGCAGAGTCCAAATAGTCGTAGTCCAAGCTCTACTAGCAGCTGCATCATCAATTTTTAGTATGTGTTCGAGTTCTGCTTTTACTGTTATTGGTATTATTACGGTACTGTGCTTGTTATTATCAAGACTAGCGGTAGCAGCACTCGTAGTAGTGGCTTGTAGTCGTGGAGGAAACGCAGTCGATGATGTCGGTGTAGTCCTAGCAGCAGCAGGAAAGACAACAGCAGCAGCAGAAGCCATTGTTGTAGCAGAAGTCAAGACCTACACTTTGCCTTTTTCAGCCCCAGAGCACTTGAAATCCAAAACCCAGAACCCTGGCTTTCTGAAGGCAGCTGATATTTCTTCTTCTGCTGGGCCTGCGGCTTTCAAACCGCTACCAGCTTCCTGAGGTCCGGCATAATGAAGCAGCTTTCACATGTAGAAATACTATTCTCCAGGGCTCCTGATTCAGACTATGCCATACGATGCTAGAACATCCCCCCCACGGCCCTAGTCCATCTCAAGTTCCCTGTGTTGGGGGTTCATTTGTTCAGGTGTTGAAGCTTCGAAAGGAACTTGGGGAAGCTCCGTCGGGAAGTGCTGGTGCAAGTGTGATTGAGGTTTTGAAGCGTTTCGAGTCGTGTTGTGTTTCGACTTGATGGTCTCGGTACTAATTCCGAGCCATAGCCTCCGCAGCTCTGTAGACCCTAGGCAGCGACTTCTGGCATGTCGTTGCGTTTCTTTTGCGTTGGAGGGGATCTGGGGTTGCGGCAGCACAGCTGGTCTTACTGCTGCTGCTACTAGGAACTAGCACTGCTACTGGCTACGACTACATCGACTACTACAATTACTACTGTTCCTACTCACTACTGCTGCTCCTACTAGGACTACTACTACTACTACTACTACTACTACTACTACTACTACCGCGACTACTTCTACTACTACTACTACTACTACTACTACTACTACTACTACTACTACCGCGACTACTTCTACTACTACTACTACTACTACTACTACTACAACTACTACTAGCCACCCCCCCCCCTCCCAACTACACTTGTTCCATCCGGGCTGGGCAGCGGTAGCTGCTAGGCGCCTTAACTGCGATAGTTGCAGAAGATGCACGGGGTCAGGCTCTTTATCTGTGACAGCTGCAGAAGTTGCAGAGGCTCAGTTTCCTTAACTGTCACAGCCGGTGAAGTTGCAGGGGCTCAGGCCCCAAAACTGCCACAGCAGCTGGAGTTGCAAGCTCGACGGGGAAGAAACTGATAAACCCCAGGTGGTCGGAAAGTACGAAAATGCTGTAAATACCGTGCAAAACCCAGGTGCTGCCAACAAGGGTTTAACGTTTCTAAAACCTGAAGCGCAACATCTTCTGAACATCAAAAACAAAGATGCCAGCTGTATTTGGGACGGGCTCGGCAACACCCTTACCGCCCAACCTCTGCGTAGGAGGGTTTGTTTTTGAAGTGGTGTGTGTGGTGTGTGCGCGCTTGAGTGTGCAAATATTGTTCAGGGTGTCCGCAAAACAGTGTCGTGATCATCCCCGAAGAAGCTTTCCCCCACCCAATTTCGAGTTTTTTTGCAAGCAGTTCCAAAGAGCAAAGTTTAATACGCATAGTCGAGAAGTAGGGGCTCAGAATATGTAACAAAGTCTGACATCACGAAAGTACCGTAAATACCGAGTTAAACGGCTCTTGTGGTGATACTGCTGGGTGTGTTCGCGTAACACTGTCGTCATCATCCCCCCCCCACCCCCCCACCCACCCCCAGAAGCAAGTCCAAAATCAAGAGCCCGAGTTTGCAAACTCGACAAGTCGATTTTTGGGCCTCTTAGGATGATCGCACATGACGAAAGTGCCGTAAATACCGAGTAAAATGGATGTTGTCTTAACATGGTTGAGAGCAAGTGTAGTTGGTAGGGGGGGGGTGCCTACTACTACTACTACTACTACTACTACTACTACTACTACCACTACTACTACTACTACTACTACTACTACTACTACAACTACTAAAACTACTACTACTACTACTACTACTACTACTACTACTACTACTACTACTACTACTACTACTACTACCACTACTACTACTACTACTACTACTACTACTACTACTACTACTACTACTACTACTACTTCTACTTCTACTACTTACTACTACTACTTACTACTACTACTGCTACTACTACTACTACTACTGCTACTACTACTACTACTACTGCTACTACTCCTGCTGCTGCTGCTACTACTGCTACTACTACTACTACCACCACTACTACCACTACTACCACTACCACTACGACGACCACGCCCACTGCCACTGCCACTGCCACGACTACTGTCTCCACTTCCACTACCACTACCACTGCCCTTCACTGTCACTACCACGACTCCTACTCCTGCTTCTGCTCCTACTCCCACTCTCACTCCTACTCCTGCTACGACTACCACTACCACTACCCCTGCCCCTACCCCTACCCCTACCCCTGCCCCTGCCCCTGCCCCTGCCCCTGCCCCTACCCCCCCTACCCCCTACCCCTACCCCTACCCCTACCCCTACCCCTACCCCTACCCCTACCCCTACCCCTACCCCTACCCCTACCCCTACTGACACCCTACCCCTACCACTACCACTACCACTACCACTACCACTACGACTACTACTACTACTACTGCTGCTACTACTACTACTACTACTACTACTAGCATCACTACTGCTACTACTGGTCCTACTACTGCTCCTACGATTACCACGGTGCTGTTACGAATATTTCTTCTACTAACTACTACGACGACGACTACGACTGAGACCACAAACAACAACTATTTCTCAGTAGCCGGTAGCCACAGACAGGGGTACTTGCTTATTGCGCTAGCAAAAATTGGGAGTTCCGAATATAGGGGACCCTAATATAGGACCCTAAATAGTAGGATCCTCATTATAAGGACCCCAAATAAGGTACCCCTACTTTTCGGAAACTGCCAATTGGCCCCAAACCTCAATCGTTTAACCTTGGACCGAAAAGCCTGAGCCGTTGAATCGTGCAGGAGATCTGGAGGAGGAAAGTGCTTCCGGGAGTCTCTTGGCTGTCTTATATGGGAGTTTCCGAAAATTAGGGGTACCTTATTTTGGGGTCCCCTCTTTTCGGAAACTCCCATATAGGGGCCTCAATCGTACCCAAACTATTTTGCGGGTTCCTGATTACATATAATTCTAGTAGGATGGGCCGAAAAAAACACTATTCTAACTGTTGAGGCCCCTTTTTGAGGGCGCATGGGGTTGGGTTCGAGCCCTACGGCTGTAGGGCTTTGGGGCTTTGGTCTTCGGGTTTACTTACTTTAGTGTTAGAGGCTTCGGGATCAGGTCTGAGAGTCATGCAACTGGGAAGATGCCAAGAAATCCCGGAAAGAACCGAAGGGATTGAGTTCAAGCTAGGCAAACCATGCAAAAGCCAAGAGTGCATAGTCGAAGCAGGGCTTTCTGTAAAGACACGCCAGATATGCCGTCAATACAGAGCCCTCTTAAAGTGCCCTGGGTTTCCTGGAAAGATGGGAGGCGGCCGGCCCCGAACACTCGACACCCAAAGCGCCAGACCCAAGCCCATATTCTCGAAGACCCTGAGGCCTTCTAAACCCTTAATGGATAGACTTCTGACTTCAGATCTATACGCCTGATAGGCCAGAAGGGCCTGCATTAATCGAGGCCTCCGAACCCTGACCGCAACCGAAATCTCAGCAATCATCCGAGAAAGTTGCCAGGAAGATCACAGGCACCCTCCCAAATCTGCACCCTCAGCACTCAACCGCGGAGTCTCATCACGTTGGTACCTGGCCATCTGCTTATCGGAACGTACGAAACCCCAAAGCTCCAAGTATGCAAATTGTACCTACTTCGGGGTCTAGAGTCTATAAATACTGCCTACTTTGGGCGATTTGGCGCGCCGGGGGAAAGGATGCGATACATTACCAAACCCTTCGGCTGACTTGCCCTCCGCCCTCCTCTCAACACCCAGGTGGGTACTTGTCCAAATTAGGGTCCCTTGTGGGGTGCCCTAAATATTAGGTGCCGCATTATAAACAAGGACCCAAAAAGGGATCATGATTTTGACAACCACCCAGGTGCTTCCAGCCATCCCGCAATCGGCATGACTTGGACTCGCTGCAGGCTCAGACAAATTTGGGTTTTGGTGATTGAAGTTCGGCTGGCCCTTTGTCTGCCACGGTACAGATTCCCCGAAGATCGGCCCTGGGATTCAGCATCCTTAAACCTTAGACCCTAAAGCCTAAGATAGGGTTGCAACATTCAAGACGGTATTCGCCAAGGTTTCCTTGTTACAACGGTGTAACCCTTTTATTGTACTGAAGGCTGGGTTCCGATACGTTATCCCATCAAACCGTCACCCCAGAACCGCAGATGCTCGCCTCCCTTGGTCCCTTGCCATAGAGGGTCCCGAATAGTTATTGAAGGCTCTGGGTTTAGGGTTCCGGGAATAGTCTCCACCCCGAATAACATGAGTTTACTCTGCTTGAGAACTCGTTATGTTATTTAGATTGTGATATGCCCCAGAACCCTCGTCTTGCAACTATCAAGACCCCTGAAAGTTACCTCTGACTGTTCACACGGCAGACATAGGTTCGACGTCTTGGGCCCGGAGCTCTGCTTAGCCGGAGATCGACTCGGCGAGAAGGAGAAGGAGAAGGAGACTCTGCCTTAAGCCCTAAAGCATTGAGGCCCTTTGTCCTGAAGGTAAGGCTCGAAGGACGCACATTCAAAGGCTTGCGGCTCCACAGACCACTTTCTGCGTCAGGCTTTAAATGTTGGTTTTGTGGCTTTGGGCCAGGCCTGTAGTAGGGTTGAAGGCTTTCGCATGCTCTGGGTCCCCGGTGCGTACGGCAACCCTAATATTTACCAGCAACATTCCAACATGCCCCGACAGCCTATTCTGACAATAAACCTCCCTGTAACATATGCCCTAAGCCCCAAATCGTAATCCCCAAACCCTTCGCTATAAGGGTCGTTTGTTGAAGCCGGGAGGTTGGGGGTTTCGACTTGGCAGACCCGAAGGCTCCAGAAATCTTGAAGCTGAAGTCAGGAGTTGGAAGGGATTGAGTGGCTAGTGGGTTTAGGGTTAGGTGTCAGTGCTTAGGTCTAGGGGTTTAGAGCTTAAAGCTTAGGATGTAGGTTTTAGGGTTTAGGGGGAAGGTTTGGGGACGGAGGAACCAGGAAGCACCCCCATGAAAGATTCCACGGGGAACTCTTGCAGGACTCTCTCCGTGTCTTCGGTATTCTTCGGCCATTCCTCGAAGCTCTTCGCAGTGTTCTCCGATGCAGCTGCAGTCACATCGCGAAAGGGCCGTGTGATGCTGCGTGCTTTTGTCGGGTGTCTTGTTTGAGGCCTTACCCTAAACCCTAAACCCTAAACCCTGGGTTTCTAGGAGCTCGGGTGTTTGGGGGTTGCATGCCGGGGCTGAGGGGTTGAGGTGTCGGGCTTCCGACCCAGATCTTAGAGGGTTAGGGTTTAGGGTTTAGGGTTTAGGGTTTAGGGTTTAGGGTTTGGGTGGAGGTGCCAGGAGATGGGTTCAATGGGTTCGATGCCCCAGCGATTCATAAAACCCGAACCACAGACAGGCCTTAGGCTACACAGCACCATACTTCCAAGTTCCTTGTGCCTGTGTTCCTTCACGCTAGGCTAGACCTACCGCAAAGGCGTACCTGGCTAGAAAAGCTGTGCAAACGCTAGGAAATTGTCAAGACTAACATCTGATACCAGGACCCTCCTTGCACCCTCAAACAGGGGTATATGGTCCCAAGTATTACAGTATTGGCTTATACAGGGCATGAGTCTCTAACCAACTTCCAAACTCCGTGTACACTCGTGCAAGTCCACGCAGGGCCTGCGCAGTGGTGGCAACCGACTGCTAGGCTGTTGAGTTGACACAGGGTTTGGGTTTTGCCTGTTGGACTTCCGGTTTAGGGTTTGGGGCTTCAGGTTTATTGGATTTAGCTTAGGATTTAGGATGAGGGTTTGGGTCCATCGCTTTCGCTTTAGCGTTATTGTACGAGAAAGACTCAGCGAGTTAAGCGTCACGAGAATGTCGGGTATGTACTTAAAAGATCAGGGGACTTAATAACTAGGGTTATAATTAGGGTAACTATACTTATAATTACTTATAAACCCCAATTAGGGTACTTATAACCCTACTTACTAAGTCCCATGATCCCCCAAGTAGCCGTGCCAGAAGCTCATCTTGTCCTCTGCTTTGGCGGCCACAGCAGCAACAAACACGACAACAGCGGCAACAACAACAACACAGCAGCAGCAGGAGCAGGAGCAAGAGCAGGAGCAGCAGGACTACTACTACGACGACGACTACTACTACTACTCGTACTACTCCTACTCCTACCGCTACGGCTACTGCTACTGCTACTGCTGATGCTGATGCTGCAGACGATGGCGACGGCGACGAGGACGACGACGGTGGCGGCGACGACGATGACCATTACGACACGATGACTACAACTACGACGGCTTCTACGGCGCCAGCGGCGAGGACCAAGACGAGCACGAGCACTCGAACAAGGACTACAACGACGGCTGCTGCTAATGCCACTGCTGCGGCTTCTGACGTGGCCGCCACTGTCGTCTTGCTCATACTTCTACGACATCGTAAATATTGTTGTTTTTGTTTCTGTTGCTAGCTTCGGTTCGACTAATGCTGCTGCTATTGCCATCTGCAGCCTCGCTAGTACCATAATGACTGCCACGTTTCTACAACAGTTCTGCATCAGTTTTCATACCTAAAGTCTTAAGCAAATGTTCCTGTTGCAACTATCAGTGGTGGTTTAGTGTTTGTAAGTATTCGTTGTGTGTTTTCGTGCAGTGTGATAACCCCTAGAACTCGAGGAGCAATTTCTTCAAAGCCTCTCTTGTGTTCGACTGTTTCGAATTGAGGTTAGAAGAGGCTCCCTAAACCCTAAACCCTAAAAACTTATATTACTTGCACGGCTTTGAATGCAGGGCTTCGGCCTGAGAAGGAGCCATGGTTCTTCAGCTTGTGTCGGTCAGTGTCCGTCTGTCTGCCTGTCTGTCCATCTGTCTGTGTCTGAGCTTCAAGCCCGTCAACCCTACAGTAGCCCAAAGTCAAAGTTCCGGATGAAATCAAACCTACACTCCAATCCCCTGCCCCCTTGAACCCGAAACCTTAAAACCCGTCAAGCACGAGCTCTCCGGAGGAACGCTTCCCGACATCGAGGCAGCTGCCACCTGCAAGCGAGTCAACCAGGCTCTCTGCAAGATTTAAGGGTGTCTTAAGGTTCAGGGCTTAGGATTATTGGGGTTTCGGGTCTTGGGGTTTCGGGCTGCTGTGGTTTTTGGCGGATTCCAGGTTCGTTTCCAAGCTGCCTGATGAGGAATCCCGCATGTGTATTGCTTGATTTTGAGTCCTAAGATGATGGCTCTAGGTGTGCTGATTAAGATGTGCGTTTAAGGCTGAAACAGTCGGTTGCCGTCTGTGGTACAAGGTTTGCTGGGAGAGGAAATTTTGCCTTTTGGGCTTGGTTTCTGGTTTAGAGCATAGGGTTGTCCCCATAATGAGCCCTGAACCATCCTTAACCTCTTGAGCTTGCTGCAAGGCCAAGCCCATCGTTATCGATCTCGATGACGATGAGGTGCTCCCGGTGTAACACGCTTTGCGGTGTTGGGCTGAAGGTTTCGGTGAATGTATATCCCATGTAGTTCCTTCTGCATAACCGCCCAAATTTTAATCGCTCCCACAGCGCAGCCCACAAGTTATGACGATATGAAAGCACCAAACCTGCAACACACTCCTGATCCCTATAAATGCGACACCCGAAGCCTGAAACTCCCCCCCCTGCCCTAAACTCCGCATGCCAGTCCCTAAGTCAAGAAACCCTATGGCTTATGCATAGAAGGGTGGCCTGCTATACTAGACGGCTTGAAGTTGAGGGTTGCGGGTCTGGGATTTAGGGCTTCATACTCGAGATTTCCGGTTTATGTTCCAGGAACGCCGACAGAGCCGGAGGATTGAGGCAGATTCACCCTATCGGCTGGCTTTGCCAGATGAAATTCGTTGGAATCCCTCTTTCAAATCGGGGTACAAGTGGAGCGTCTGAACATCTGGCAATGCTTTCCAGGGCATTCCTAGGCCTTATACATGGTTGTGCGCTGTGAGTTCTGCGCTACCCCCGTCCTGCCATGAACGACCTCGTTCTTGTTGATCAGTACTGCATACAATAATGCCATACAGTTAACATAATACAACGCAGTGCAGTACAATACCATACAATACAATACGCTAGTGCAATAGAGTAGAACAGAATAGAATAGAACGAAACAGAATGACATTTTAATGTTTCATTGTGCAATGACATAAAATATGATAACATACTAGAACATACCATACACTATGCTTTACTGTAATATAACACGAACAGATAAAACGTTACAATATACTATAAACGTATACGATTCACATACTAAACTGATACTATAAAACAGCATAGAGTTCAAGAAACGAAAAGACAATATAGATAAGACATACAATACAATATACTACAATAGGATCGCGTAAGGTAATGCAATAGACCGTCACTACTATAGTGCAATGTGCTCTAATGTCATATGACGCATGATATCGTAGTATCGTGTAACATCGTGTAACACAAAAGAGCTGTACAAACACTTACAGCTATATATATATATATATATGTATATATATATATATATATATACATATATATATATATATATGTATAGATATTATAGGTATACACACATGTATGACATTATATTGCATACATGTGCATATGTGTGTGTAAGTGTTTCAAAAAGCTGCGAACTCAGAGTTCTGAGCCGAAGTGCTTCGGAGACACACGACGGCTTTGGGTTTCGGCTTCAGTGGCTCATAACCCAAAGGGTCCAAAGTACCATTATGGTAGATTGTAGGGTTTCTATATTAGGAATTACTATTATGATTTGGGGAAACATCCCCCATAACAGTACCTAGGACCCTTTGGGTAATGAGACTTCAGCCTACAAGGCTTCCAAGTGTAGGGCTTATGGGGGTCGGGCTTGGCTTGCGGGTAAAATGCGCCAAAACTTACCTATAGTCTCCATTGTAGTTCCTTT